ATGTCTGTGCTACTGGAACCCAGAAGTTTGTTCCTCTTAACAGAAGATCTTTATCATAATTTATTGCACGGTATCGCCGAGAGGACTAGTGATGAAGTGACTGATCGCGTGGCAAATCTGGACACTTGTCACGCTTCGGTAGGTGACATATTGCATCGAAAGACAAGGATTTCGCTTACTATCAGAAATGTGCCAAAGATTCTGAAGTTTAAGCTTAATCTGGGAAGATAAGGCGGATTATGGAATTTAAATTTGCCTTCATTGAAAAGTCACAGCCTTCTTGCTACAATGGGTACCCCGTGAGCAGCGAGAGTTCATCTAAGTGATGGATACAATGGAAAGCCTCTCTCCTCCACAGAGGCTCCCGCTGCGTATTCCAACGAGAATAGAAATAATTGAAAAAACAGTAAGGGCGGGGTCCGTCTTTTTTCTCTTCTCATCTACCCCTGCGCGCTTTTTGTCTCCTCCCCCACGCCTCCTTACGACGGCTACGAGACAAAGGGGTCTGTGCAGAGGAGAGAAATGGAACGCCAATAGTCTTTCCTGTTACAGGAAAGTAGGGTAAGAAAGTGTGATTTAGAATGTCATGATGGAACTCCAACTAAGTGTTAATCAAAGAAATGGTCACACATAAAAGGAGGAGAGATCTAGATGAGTGACAATGACAGCCTGTCCTATGACCAGGCGTTCAGATAGTGAGAGAGTCTAGTGGCCTGCGAACGCAAACTTATTTCCGGTGGTTGACGACCGGAAATACGTCTGCATTCGAAGCGTTAGAGTCGAGTAGTGCGAAAAAAAAGTGGCTATTTTTTTTTTTCCATCAGGCCCCTTAACTTTACGGGGTTACGCCGCTGTGGGAACGCGTAGGACAGGCTAAATAATCTATTCCCTCTTGAGGGCGTAGAATGATTTAAGATCTGGTAAAATGCCCACTTAGCACTAAGTTAAGCTAAGTACATGATGCAGTCGAAACGTCGCGATCTTTTAGTGAGTAAATAAAAAATTTAGTTTATTTACCCGTCGTCAGTTCGCTCTAGTTGTGGAATTTGAAAGCGTCGGTGTAGAGTAGCGAAAAAAACGAGAAAATAGGAAAACTCGGTTTGAGCAAAGACCAGAAACAACAACAGAGCGTGCTTTTGCGTCCTAAACTAGACGGTGATTTGCCGTTTATATTATTATTTTTTCTTTCTATTATCTTCAATTTTAACTTTTTCGCGCTCGTCTAAAAGAAAGCCTATAATGGGGACTAAACTCTAATTAAAACCAAGGTAAAATGCTTGGTTTGGCCATTGTCCCAGAGGGCCCCCAGATAAAACAGAATTTTTTAGCATCTTTTCCTTTACATTGTTTACTTGTTTATTTGTTTGTTTATTAGCCTCAAGTTGTTGTCAACGACGATAATGCATGATTAGTAAAAAAAATGCAGTAAAAAAATGAAACAAAACAAACAAAACAAAACTCAACAAAAACCCTCAATATAATAATAAAATATTAATAATAGGGGCCCTTTCGTAACCACGATTTTTCCAAAGGTACGTACAGTTCTGTACAGTTCTTTAAATTGCTTTAGCCACAACCCACCCCCGCCCCCCCCCCCCCCCCCCCNCCCCCCAAAAAAAAGAAACCTCTCTTGATTCCGAGCGAAGCGCCCTCACGAAAGCGATTTATAATCTCGTCGCGCGCAGTCCTAAAGACGTGCGAACTTGGCTGGCCCATGTATATTTGTTTTAGTAAAAATATCGCTAAATTTGCAATATTTAGGCTATGTTCACACTTTACCGGATAGCTTTTGCGCCGCCACGAAAATCATACCGGATTGAGCTTCTCTTCTCGTATGAAAATTTTTGTAGCTGCGCGATTTCTGTGACGGAGCAGAGTAGCACCGTACCGATCTCTAAAGTGGAGAATCAAATATGGTAAAGGGGTTCCCAGTATACCAGATAGCTTTTCGTGGCGCCACGAAAACCATATTGGATTGGGCTTCTGAACACACACTAAAACTGTTGTGGCCGCGCGATTTATGTAACGGATCGAAGCTGCGCCGCGCCGATCTCTGGTGAAGTGGAGAGTCACATATTGGATAGGTGTGTTCACACTATATCGGATAGCTGCTTTTCGTGGCGCCAAGAAAGCAGCTATCCGATAAAGAGGTTTCACTGCAAAAATCTGCAGTCATAACCGGTTCCCGCCATTAAGGAATTTACGCGCACTTCTTTCGGTCGTGAGATCAAAGGTCATTCTTCTAACTCTTCAATTTTTTTCAAGAACAAGAACGCGCTTATAGCGGTATCAGTCTCGCTTGCTTGGAGATTAGATCGAGAAATGAGGAGGCGATTAATTCTACACGAAACAGCATTTACTCGCTGAAGGTTTTTTACTTCCTACTTTATCTACGTCGATACTTTTTATTTGTTTCTGAATTGATTTACTACACGTGTTAGCGACGACCGGAAATACGTCTGCGGTCGCAGGCAAAACGAGTATATAAATACACGAAAATTCAAGGGCCTCGATTACAGAGAAATTGCATCATTGCCAGTGATTAAATAAGTGATTTACATAGGGCACGTCATTTCAATCATCGCCGAAAATAAACCGCATGCTTATCACAAGGGCCTGATTTGCATACGATGAAAGTCTACAACACCCGACCATCGCAGTTTTGCTAATTAAGATTTTTTTTTTTTTTTTTCGACCACTCAGTAGTTTACCCTGGGTTCCAGAGGATAATTATTTTTGTCTTATCGATACTGGTGGCTCGTGGCGAGCCACGTCAACGAGGCGCGAAGCGCCGAGAGAAAAAAAATTATTTGAACAGAGTTATACAGTTAATAGATAAGTTTATTGATTATTTTTCACTGTACATACATACATACATAATTTATTCAAGATGCCTTAAAATATATACAAGGTTTAAAAAACTTAAAAACGACATCTTGAAAGGGAAGTTAACAGGTCATCTCTATGTTTAAACTCCCCAAAATAATAAGTGAATAAATAAAAAGATGAAAATATCATAATAACAACTATAATAATAGTAAAGGCAATTCTTAGTTAAGCGTCGAGATAAAGTTTTAGCTTGGATTTAAATAATTGAAGACTATCAGCCTCAACTATGTCTTTGGGTAAATCGTTCCACCGTTGACTATTCTAATGAAAAAAGAGAGTGTTTATAACAGTTTAGTCTTGTTGATTTGACGTAAAGTTTATAAGAATGATTTGCCCTTGTAGATTCAGTAGTAGTGAATTCAAAAAGTTCTTCAAAGTTAAGATGATAATAGTCAAAGACGATCTTATAACATTCGACGTAAGATAAATAAGTTCTACGATCAGACAAAGTAAGCCACTTAAGCCGTTGGCATCGCTCTTCGTGAGACATCTCTCCTTTACTTTGGTTTAGGGTCATTCTCGACACTTCTCCGTACACATTCAAGTAAATGGATTTCCTTCGCCAGATAAGGGCTCCAGACTGGTGCTGCCTATTCTAAGATTAGCCGTGCGAGAGATTTGTGCAGCATGGACAATATATTAACATTTGCAGTTCCCACGGAACGTTTAGTAACGCCTAATACTTTGTTTGAATTTTTGGCAATCATAATCACTGTACAACTATTTAAACGATATTGCGACTTCTTATCTTTAAACGAGGTCGATTTATATGGCACAACTTTAACACGTGACCCATGCAGGCTAGTACAGAAAAATGTAATGAGAAAAGAGAAGATATAAACAGTGTATGCCTACCTGAGTTTTTTGTTTTCTGAGCCAATCCTTTGAATTGCCTGGTAAAATTAAGTTATTTGTAGTTGCAATATTTTGCACTGAATAACCTCAGTCTTCTTCAATATAACAGCTGCAGTTCTTTAACACTGAAAGTTCTAAATTAAAACTTTTTATCAGTGAATACTATGTATCTTTACCTCGCCGCTGACAAGTTTTACAATAACAAGCTGATATCCAATCAAATGGCTCCTGGTTCCAGTCTTCATGCTTATTATTGTTTGTTTTGTTTTGTTTTTGGTTGTTGTTGCCGTTGTGGTTTTTTGTTTTGATCTATATATAGCGTAGTAAGACACGCCACACGTCAGCGTGGTGAAAGGTGGGAGTTTTACCCAAAGTTGTACCATGTAAATCTGCTTTGGAGAGTATTGTTACAAGATACGAACTTTTCAGCTTCATTTTACCTGCTGCCTTTGTAAAGAAACCTACAAACGGTTAGACTTTCTAGTCTTTTCGGATTAGGACGATAAACCGTAGGCCCCGACTCACAACTCTTGCACATATAAATACTGAGGGACATTAAAGAACCCACAGAGCTCTATAAAGCTAGGTTAAACATTACTCCAAATATCTCCCATATGAAGTATTGCATCGACCTAAATCTTCTTCTCCTATATTTACCTTCTTTCATTTCCCAAATTCTGGACTTTATTTAATGAACGATTTTGATTTTCGTTTTCAATGGCGTGGCAGTGAAAACCAACAATTGCAAAAAAAAGAAGAAAAAAAAAATCATCAAAATCAATCCCCCGATTGTACCGATTCATTGGGCCGTTCTACTCGCCAACAATAGAATGCGGAATTTTTCGTTGGGCCCTCAAATCTCACTGGTATATAAAAAATGTGTGCTCTGATGTGGCTTAGGGTCTATAATCACGATTTGGGCCTGTAACTAGTTTAACTCTACAAGGTTTGTTTTGAGTATTCCGGATACGCTTCTCACTTTCTTTTTCACGCGAGTGTCTTGTGACATGCAAATCAGCTAAGAAATGGAATCTAATGCGCATGTGTATCAGCTGACTGTGTCCTTCTAAGGTTGGTAGAGCGTTCCCTTTGGGCTGAGGTTTCTTGGCGTGGCTTTTAGCACTCACGAAGTGAAAAAAGCCATTACGCGACTGACAAGTGACCCGAAAGACTTGGTCATAAATGCTTTAAAAAGCCGTGCCTTAAAGAAACCTATGCTCGCAGGGTAAGCCGCGCAGCAACTATGTGCTCCTCAGCTATTCTACACTAGGATTAATTTGAGCATTTCCAACACCCTTGCCGCAAACATGTTTCAGTAAAAATACACGGAAATCCTTCATCTGAACCAGGTATATGATGAAGTTTATAGCACTGCTGGAAAAAACTAGCACCCGACTAAAATGCCTTATCACAAAATCTTCCTGGAAATCTAGCGATGGTTTAGCTACAGCAACAAAGGCTGTGTAATATAATATTAATGAATAAGGAAGAACGGTAGCTATGGTGACAATTACAATTAAACTAGTTTTTTTGATTTGGTGTGATCTCATCCTCGCCCTAATGGCGTTATCTCGTTGTATATCGATCCTTCTTTTGCTTCCTTTCCACAACCTTCTGGCTATGATGATGTTCATACAAATCAAAGCAATGCTTGGTATGACGAGCTGTATTAGTACAAAGCCTACCATAATTACTCTGTTAGGTAGAGAACTGGTATCAGGTTTACAGACGATTGTGTAATGTGTAGCATTAATATCGTATCTTACACCATTTAGTGTTGCTGCTGGAAACAATCCCATTAAAAACCCTGAAATCCACGCTGCATACACTAATTTACGGACAGTGGTACCACTGAACGTTTTAGGAACATCACGGGTTGAAAGAAACCTCTCGGTGCTTATAACAATCAAATTATTCCCTTTTATAACGTAAAACGTACCACCGACATATCGACTTATTTTACAAGGCCATCCAATTGGGAATACATCATACAATAGTTCTATACAATCTACAACACCTTTAATCAAAGTAGAAAGTATCTCTGAAAGAGTTAAACTCTTCATGTAAAGGTTGAAGTTTCTTAGAAAAGGAGAAGACTGCAGGAAAGGAACTGACTTTTTCTCGGAAAGAAAATACAGAATAAGGATGTTGCCCACCAATCCGATGACTCCAAAAATTACAAACAGTACAACAAGAACGAGTTTTATGTTGAAATCTGCTGGTGCGAGCACGTAAACTAAAGAAGTAATGGCTACAGCTGTGCTGTTGGTAACGGAGGACTGATTATCAATGGAATTCGGGTTGGACAAAAGTTGCGAAGAAGGTTCCATCTGCAAGTAAAATTAGAAACAAAAATGAATTTCTAAAAATTTTTGGTTAATGGTGTTTTCTATGGGCTTCTTTGACTTCTTCGAATATCATAATTTAAGTCGATTGAACAAATGTGCCCCTGCACACGTTTTCTCAGAAAAACGCCATTCAGAAAGTTAGTCAAGCCGTTTTCTGGTCAGTTCCCTTCTATTACTTTTTCTGAGGGCAAGGGGCTGCTGAAAACATCTCGTCAAAAAGAACTAGAGCTGCCTAAGCCTCCATCCACGCGTAGCCGTTTATGTTTGAAATCGGTGATTTTTTTTTCCAGTATGGCATACCGTTGAAAATATTTCAGCCAAAAAAATTAGCAAAATTCCACCACACGCGATTTTCGTCGAAAAGGACTGTCCACCTACAGCGCTAATTTCGTAAAAAATATTTACGACCATTAAAATCAAATTATTCCATATTCTTGCCGAATGATAGCTGTAAGTCTTTTCCAAGTTTCCTGGCCATCCCGAAAAAACCGAAAAGAAAAGATATGACATAAAGTTCGTCATAGCTCAATAACACCTAGCGCCTGCATTTGTGACGGCTGAGCCACATTAAAACTGCAGATATACTCAAAAGCCGTTATTGAAATTCATCCTATTGAGCTTGCTTTCTCAATAAAGCAATATTTACAAAAAACAAGATCTCGACCTTCTGAACACACCCTTTCTTCAAGTAACTACGCCACGCTTAAGTGGAAAGATGACGTCGTTACCCATTTAACTTGGTTATATTGGTCAGACCTCAATGAATGCTGATCAAACACGTCTATCTCGCAATCGACTAAAGCTATCCCCATGAACTTTTCACACTCGTTTTTTCAGGTAGAATGAAACTTCATGAAATAAAATTGCATTTCCAAAGCGCTTCGTTTTCTTCACAAAATTTCTCTGTTTTTACTGTTATGTTTTCTAACCGTCAACAATTCATCTTAAAATATCCCGATAATGTTCGCATAAAGTTTGCTCAAACTTGAGGAACATTGGGAGGGCTTCTACAGAGACAAGCTTTCGTGTCCGATTCCGAGAAATACCACCGCACTAAATAGATCATAATACCATTATGTTGCCGTGACAACTATGATGTCAATCAAACTCTGGTCATAACAAATCAAAGTCATCTTTCTCTAATACAGCTGTGGAGACTGTTTGCCATATTTTTTTGTGAATGGCGATGCAGCTAATTCTCAGACTTTGTTGGGCACGCTGTGGGGCACAAACTGTGAAAATCCACTCAAGCCACCTTAAACCCCATTTTTGTACTACAAATGTTTTCATAAGTCTTATTTACCCAGCTTTTAGGTTTGATTATCACGAGTATTGCAATTTTGGTTAATTTAAATGGGGTTGTCAAAAAGCAAGTGCCTACTGTACCTTTCTTGTCAATAAAAGTGAAGCACTCGCTGGTTATGCCGCATCAACTCTGCACTTTGCGGTCAGCAAAAAACGGACTGTGTGATAAGAAACAAATTTTTAGCTAACTATAGCTAAATGTGCAAAGATCAAATTATTTTCAAATGTTCATAATCACTTTATTTTTACTCCACTGACCTTAGTTGCAAGTGTGAAAAAGTCGTTTTTAATGCGCAAATTTCTAAAAGATCCCCGTCTTTTAAACTCGTCACTACCACAAATGAGGGGAACTGGCTGAGGCGGAAAAAAAAAAACAAAACAAGATTGGTATTATTTTTTCACCAAGTGAAGAAAGAAAATGCACTGAAATCAATAAAGACGGTAACTGAAAATCAATATCATTGAAAATCATTGAAACCAATAAAAGTAGTTAAAGAATTGGAACTTACCGATCGTAAGGTTAGCAAGTCTCTTCTAAGTTCAAACTGTACCTACATACTGTTACGTGTATGCTGCTCCCACAAGAATACTCGCATCTACAGCCAGTGATGTGAACACAGGCTGTTAGACCGTTTTGCTGAAAATGCTATTGTCAGGAATGCGTTTGGCAATTTCTACCGCAGAAGTTACATTTTCTATTGTATGTTCGCCTCAAGGATTTTTCATTGTAACTTAGTTTCCTGCCGCCAAAATAGAAAGCCAGGTATGAATAACTGTTTGTTGCCCAAAACCGTGATGAATCTAGTTTTTTTACATCTCAGAGAAATAACGAACAATGTAACATGTGGTTTGTTTTATGTTATTCGGCAGTAGTTTCATAGCAGTTTTAGTCACGTAACCATTTGCGCGTACCTTTTCAGCAGGGTTATACTTGGTTTTTTATTTCCATTGAAAGCTTAAATTATGAAAATGGATCTGTTATATAAAAATTCTGGGAAACTGTCGGACCTCCCTTCTACCTCGTTTCTGCAGGGAGTGTCTAAAAAGAGTCCATTCTTCAATTTTCAATTTTAAAAGCATTGTGTCTCACTGAATAAACTTTCTAGGGAAATAACAAACAAAGTAACAGGTGATCACTTTTGTTAATGTTTTCCTGCAGTCGTAGCGTTTTGCCAATTTTTAATCTTACTGTGTAGATAACATGCAATATCTTATAGCTGATTTTAGTTCTAAGATAAGTTTGATTAACAATTCTGAACTGTGAAAATGCGTCTCCCAAATAATTTCATGAATTTTGGCCGTCCAAAAACTGCTTTTTCCCCTTGAGAAATGTCCTAGAGACTCGGAACGAGTAAAAGAAAGTCTGATGACGTAATTTGACGTCAAAGCCTTTGCTTCCGATTCTGGTCATTGTTTTGCCTTTTGTGGAATAAACGGTGTATTTGACGGTAAGAAGAGTGTAGCGAGGCAAATGAGGATCCTGAAGACGATTAGGGAGTTTTCGAAAACGACCATCTTTCGTACTTTCCGCCATCATTTCAATTATATCTACATTATTGCTAATCATTCTGTCACACTTGTCAATTTGGCTGCGCGATAGGGCGGACATTTGCGTTGAAGAGAAAAAAAGGACATAAAAATTCAACACACGAAAAATATTTACATAGTAATCATGGTTAATCTATACTGTTATGTTTAAACAAAAGAAAAAATACTATATAAAATGCAAAAACTGGCAAGGAAAATCAAAATAATTTACAGTAGTGTATAACTAGAAGTTTTAATTTGAGAGTGAGCGCTGGCGAGGGGCGAAAGTAGTTATTGGTATAGAGGAGAGGTACGCAGAAAATTTGGTCAGTTTAAGAATCTCGGGGTAGTCTCCGTTATTAAAAGGACGGGGATGTTTGGAAGGGTGTCTGATCGCAACTGTGTGGACAAACAACTCGACATACCATTGTTTGCTGTTAGACGGAGTTTTCAATGAACAAATCATCTCCATGAAGTAAGACGCTAACAATTTCGTCACACCTCCATTGGTCAATTGGCCACGAGAGGTCCCTTAGTAAGGCAGACAAAATCATGAAAAGTTGCCTGGACAACGGTGACATCAATGAAAATGTGGCTGAAAATTAGACTTTGCAGCCTTTCCAAACCTTTTCATGATTATTCCAAGTTGCCCAGTTGCTTAAAAGGGAAAGTAGATTGGGGCTGAAGAAAGAGGACCATCACCGAGTTCAGACAGAGATTGTAAATTTACCGCAGTTGCTGTTCCCATTCTCAAGCAGAAAGCAGTTATAAACTTAGTATTCAGTCATTTCACGTTGTAACTTGAACGAAGGCCAAAGAAATTTATAAAAAAAGCATGGTGCATGTGCAAAGTTATTGTTTTGCTCATTAACCCTTTAAGCGCTAAGAGTGATCAGCATCAAAATTCTCCTTGTAATATCAATGCTTTGTAAAACAGAGTGGTCAAGAGAATTGCGAACATCGCCTGAGTATCAGGCGTTTCTGGGGGAAAAGGGAAAGATGGAAGCGAAAAAGGGAGAGAGTAGACTGTTCACAGTCCCCTATTTTTCCGTGAGATCGTCGAGATCGAGCGCGTCTTACCATTGATGGCGGCCATCTTGATTTTTAGTCGTACCGAGTCTAACCTGGGGATGAGTATCAAATCTACTCAGGGGGCGGGGAACGGTTTGGCCCCCCACCCCCTAGAGCTATAATCCCCGACGCCCGCCCCCTCGGTATATCTAAAAATCAAGATGGCCGCCATTAACGGTGAGACGCGCTCGATCTCGACGATCACACGGAAAAATAGGGGACTGTGAACAGTCTAGGGAGAGAGCTGAAGGAGAGTAACGCCTGACACAGATGCTTTTCATGAGAGGACACAGAGGCTTTTTACTGGAAGTACAATCCCACGCAGGGATATTTTCTCCGCTGGCAGCTAATCCGACTTAATCCCATTTAATATGTCGCGCTCCTCGAAAGTGCGAAAATTTTCTTGTCGTGTATTAGATTTCAGATACATTTTCTTAATCTTCATTTCGCGCCAGAATAAATTAGTTTGCGCGCAAAGCGCTCCTGAAAAATCACAAGGTTTGTCCCACTTCGAGTCCACCTTCTGGAGATACGCCGGCTTGGTAGCTGAAATACATTGCCGAGGCGAAGATCTGGCATTTTTTCCTCCTCGTCGTATTTTCTTCACGACAAATGTTTATATTTGTGGTGAGAATGCAGCGCATATCGGTGGATTTTACTTCATGCGGCTTTAAACAATTTCTTGTAGGGTATCGCCGAGAGGACTAGTTATGAAGTGACTGATCGCGTGGCAAATCTGGACACTTGTCACGCTTCGGTAGGTGTCATATTGCACCGAAAGACAAGGATTTCGCTCACTATCAGAAATGTGCCAAAGATTCTGAAGTTTAAGCTTAATCTGGGAAGATAAGGCGGATTATGGAATTTAAATTTACCTTCATTGAAAAGTCACAGCCTTCTTGCTACAATGGGTACCCCGTGAGCAGCGAGAGTTCATCTAAGGGCCTGTTTACATGGAGGTGGGGGACCCCAGGTAGGCGAGGTAAAATATGGCGGCTCACTCCACCTATCATGCAAACGTGATCAAATTAAAATGAGAGATTATATGGACAAACGGGTTACCTCACCTACCTGGGGTCCCCCACCTCCATGTAAACAGGCCCTTAGTGATGGACACAATGGAACGCCTCTCTCCTCCAAAGAAGCTCCCGCTGCCTATTTTAGCGAGAATAGAAATAATTAAGGGCGGGGTCCGTCTTTTTTCTCTTCCCATCAACCCGTGCGCGCTTTTTGTTTCTTCTCCCTAACCTCCCTACGACGGTTACGACACAAAGAGGCCTGTGCGGAGGATAGAAATGGAACCCTCAACGCCAATAGTCCTTCCTGTTACAGAAAAGTAGGGTAATAAGGTCTGATATAGAGTGTCACGATGGAACTCCAATCAAAGAAATGGTCACACATAAAAGGAGAAAAGATCTAGATCTGTGAAAACAGCCTGTTCTATGACCAGGCGTTCAGGTAGTGGGAGAGTCGAATAGCGTGCCAACGCAGACGTATTTCCGGTGGTTGACGACCGGAAATACGTCTGCTTTCGCAGCGTTAGAGTCGCGTAATGCGAAGAAAAAGATGACTATTTTTTTTATCGCGCCGCTTAACTTTGCGCTGCTACGCCGCTGTGTCAACGCTTAGAACAAGGTAAATAATCTATTCTCTCTTGAGGGCGTAGAATAGTTTAAGATCTGGTGAAATGCCCACTTAGAAGTAAGTTGAGCTAAGTACATACCGTAGTCGAAACGTCGCGATCTTTTAGTGAGTAAATGAAAAATTTTGTTTATTTACCAGTCGTCAGTACGCTCTAGTCATGGAGTTTGAAAGCGTCGGTGTAGAGGGAAAAAACCGAGAAAACAGGAATAGAACCAACAACAAAGAGTGCTTTCGCCTCTTAAACTAGATTGTGATTTGCCGTTTATACTATTTTTTTGTCTGTATTATCTCCAATTTTAACTTTCTCGCGCTCGACTGAAAAAAGCCTGTAATGGGGACTTAAACTCTAATTAAAACCAAGGTAAAATGCTTGGCTCGGCCATTGTCCTGTACGGCTCCCAGATAAAACAGAATTTTTCAGCATCTTTTCCTTTACTTTGTTTACTTGTTTATTTGTTTGTTTATTAACCAATAACGTAACGTCAAAATCAAGTTGTTGTCAACCACGACACTGCATGATTAAGTATTAAGTAGTAAGCCCGCTAACCCACTTTCAAACTGAAATTTCCTTATGGTAATTTTAGTTCATGTGTACTTGGCGTAGACGAATTGCTTTCATTTTCGAGTTTTCGAGCCATTATAAGGACACTAATCGTTTTCAGTTATTAGTCACTTCAACAACAGCAGCCTAGAAAGCAACATTTCGCCACCTGGGGTAAAGTTAGTCCATGGCGGCTTGTTGGTTTGTCTTCGTATCTCATCTTTTTCTTCTGTTGAGCGTAAAAACAGGTTAGTCAGCAGTTAAACGAATCTCAGCATAGCTTAAGCACATTCTAACGTCGCTAGCCCTTTGTCAGGGCGAATCCGCTGTGACCTCTGCTTTCGAATCTCCTTGCGGTGGCCACTTTATACTCACTCGTTCAAATCAAACCCATTTCTCTTTGTATGTGTGTGTGTGTGTGTGTGTGTTTTTTTTTTTCAAAACCAGATAGCGTAGTTCAATTTCATTGCTCGCACTATGTGTAGAATGATAACTATTTTGGCACGATTTGAACTCTGGAAGTAAACCATCGAGGCACTCAAATTCGAAATATTTTTCGAAACCACAGTTATTTACAATCGGATATAATTACAATTTTCGTCTTAGTTGTGGCAGCTTGAATCCGAACCTTCAGCAGTAGACTCTTGCGAGGAAACTAATATTCTACACATTGTATGGATATGTAAACTGAACTGTGCTGTTTAAAGGACACTGAAAAGTCTGGTTTTATTTAATGAGTTCAATTAATAGAGACCTTTAGATTCGAGGACGAGATTTAACTTAAAGGTTTTTTCGTATATTCTCAAATAATAGACATTCCAGGAAGCTTCATTTTACTTTTTTCACTAGAAAAGTTAACAAGGTTATTTTCATTGAAGGAAGTTAAGCCCTCTCAAGATCGTAAAATGATAAAAGTTCTATAACAATTTTAAAATAACTTGTTTCCGCCGTTACGACACATTCGATAAAACCTGTCGTAGAATGACGGAGCTTAAGCAAATTAAGGCATTCTTGAACAACACATGTCGACCGGAAGTGGACTTTTTGCATCATTGGCGAGTGGTTTTTGTCCAAATGTTTGGGCAAATGGTCTTTATAGGAGTAAAGAAACTTAGCAATAGATCGTTTTCACTGTCACGAAACAAAAAATTAAATTGGAAACCGGCCAGTGGAAGAAGCCAAGAAAATGAAATGTTATAAAAGACTAATATATAAACAATTTGTCCAAGTCTCAGGTCTTTGTGGTCCACAGTTTCTGAGTTATTTGCCGAAACGTTTCCCGCACCTTTGTAGAGCTTTGTATGGAGACGCCATGTTGGTGCACCGTTGTGGTGCACCAATATGGCCGCCGGAAATTAACAGAAACATCTGGAGTTCACTTTTTCTATAAAAGCCCATTCTTTTCACTCGAGAACTAGCATACGTACGCATAAACATATTCTCTAATACTTGAAGTGGTTATCCTGCTGAAAATCAAGAGGAGAGACTTTTTTTCAACGAGACAGCCTTCCTATTTTGGTGTAACGCACTGTGAAATTTAGGAAGTTCAAATTGCTGTATTTTCGAAATGAAACATGCTACGGAAATGGAAACTTGTACAAAGATTTACTTTTTGTTTATCTTCAACCTAGTGTAAATAAGAATTCGTAAAACCTCGCTATTTTGGCCTTACAATTTGATGACGTCACTGTGAAAACCATCTATACAGATTTGGTAGCGTCAAGGCATATTAAAAGATAAAAAGTCTCACTTCCGGTTGATATGCGTCTCTCCAAAACCGCCTTTTGCGCTACTTAGTATTGAGAAAATCTCGTTCCCGTAGTCGTCTTTGTCTTAGAATCTAAAGGTCTTTATTAACTCGCTATTAATAAAGCCAAACTTTTTGGCGCTGCACTCTTCCATCAAAGATTCGTCCCTTTTATTCATTTGTCGTTTAGAGGGACATTAATGCTGGGTTTCTTTTTCGAATTATAAAAGAAAAGAAAGAAAATTACATTTTTTCTTAATTCTTCTCTTGAGGGACTTACCCTTCATACTTCTAGTGGTGGTTAAACTCAAATTAAACAAAACCGAAAATTTTATATTGTCAAATCTCGAAGGCAAATAATTAACTGAGGTGGTATTCTCTGTTTTGACTGTCGCGCTCTCAAAAGTAAAAAGTAAACAATTCAATACAGAAAGTCCAGAACCTGGGAAATGAGAGAAGATGAATACACGAAACGCCTCGTCAAGAATCAGGCCTGTGCGATATTTCAAATGCGAGATGTTTGGAAAAATGTCCAGTTTCACCCAAATATGTAACGCTTTGTACGGCCGGAGACGCCATGTTTGTGTCCCTTTGAGGATCACATAGTATGTCAGCCGGAAACCAGCAGAAATATCTTTCTTTGAGTTTTCGTACAAATGTGTGAATTCATCACTTGAGGAACTCATAAAGATTAAAGTGATATTTATTCTGAGACAAGGAATGTTAGATACCAAAATTTCCAAAAATCGGTAACGTTCTTAACCCACACAGTAACTTTCCCGGCCGCTAGCTAAATGCCGCTTCACTCAAAAGCATGGAAATTGTGTCCTCAATCGCAAAACGAAGAACACTTTAGAACCAAAAATTTGTATGAAGAAGGGTGTTTAGCTGCTGTAATACCTTATAAAAGTAGAAAATCAAAAGAATCCGTAATTCCCTAAGTTTGAATTGTGATAACGTCGTGTGAAACCCGAGATTTGGATTTTGGCACTGATGACGCGTCACTTCTTAGATCTAGGAAGTGCGCTTCTGATCGGATGAAGCAAATTTTTGACCAGCCAGAAGCACTACCCAGATCTGGGTAGTGACACGTCATCAGTATGGAATTTCTGCGCTCGTTCCTTAAACATCATTTAGCGGGGAAACCGGTGGTGGCGTCGCGAAATGTCGGTTGTTTTCTCAGGCTACACCACAGGTAGCCCAAGCTGGAAATATGAGCATCGACGAGCATCGGCATTGTTACGTAACATTCAAAATATAAGGATTTATTTGGGAAAAAACCTATCGTTTCTGTAACCTACGAAAATGAAAGGATTTCAATAAAAAACAGCTTACCTTACTTAAAATGTGTGTTACGCCTCTCCTGTATGGTCCACGGGCCGATTTATGGCCGTTTTATGGGTTTTTATGTAAACGGTTTTCTCCCATAAAACTGCCATAAGTCGGCCTGTGGACCATACAGGAGAGACGTAACACACATTTTAAGGAAGGTTAGCCGTTTTTATTGAAATCCTTTCATTTTCGTAGGTTACAGAAACGATAGGCTTTTTTCCCATACAAATCCTTATATTTTGAATGTTACGCAACAATGCCGATGCTCGCCGATGCTCATATTTCGAGCTTGGACTACCTGTGGCTACACATTTGACTGTCTTTGCATTTAATAGGATGCCTCGAGTATCAAAGCACTGTCCACGTTTCTTTACGCGGAAACGACACCAAACGTTGTGGCTCCGAGAAAAAGCCTTGTCGCACAATAGCAAAGGCTGTTGCCCGCGTGTCTCGGGACGGGATGGTTATCCAGTTGGACGGCAGTGGTACAGCAAAGCAACCATATGACTGCGAGCAGTTAACCACGCAGGCGCATCATCCGGGAATCTGGGTAACAAGAAGCATCACAATGACCAGCTTACCACCAACAGAAGCCCACATTACTTGTCCTAAAGGGTTTAAATTTTATCGATTAAACAAGTTTTTGCGTATATCGTTACGCAGCTTATCGTTCTCTAAGACGACTTTAAACTTTACTGACTGTAGCTGCGTGGAGATCATCAACTGTACTGTTCGAGAAAGGCACAGCGATAAAACCACAAGGGAATCAGCTGTTGTTATTCGTGTGCAAAACATTTCGAAAGTAGATGTAACTATTGAAGACTCTGTCTTTCAAAACAACTCCTTGTGTGTTAGAATCCACTTTGAACAACGATCTCTCAAGAAAGACAGACTGTTTTCATTAAATGTGACCAACACAAAGTTTTTTGAAAATGGCTTCCACACACAGTCTCGTGAAAGGGGTGCTATAGTTTTTTCAACAAATAAAACACCGAAAAAATTCTCTCAAACTATTTATCTGCAAATAAAGATGAATGAGGTTCTTTGCGTTGGGGGCAGAGGTCATTTCTTGGATGTTGAATTGCCCGCTGCTGTTACAAAAGAAGCGTACCATAACATTAATCTTGAACGCAATCATTTTATGACTTCCCGCAGCCTTTACTATTCCAAAGTGAGGATGGCCACAATCGCTTTTGTTGGTTTGCAGTGTGTAAATAACTCTGCAGTAAGATGTATCACAGTTCGTAGCTTTACAAACGCAAATAGAACAATCGACTTAAAAGTTAATGGGTCCCGCTTCTACGACAATAAAACGAATCGAAAAGTACTGGCCGCTACATTGCGAGTGACGGGAACTACAACTCAGTCTGGAACAATTAACATCTTCAACACATCGTTTGTTCAAAGTTCTGAAGTTGCAGTTAGCTTAACACCGAATTTCAATGTTTGGCTTGAAGGTGTAACTGTGAGGTCCTCGTTATATGGTGTCCAGATGGTTGCGTATGACACGGTTGTTATGAACGACAGCAAACTTTATTTATTTGCAAACATTCACAACTGTACCTTTCGAAATAACTTGATGGACGTGTACGGTTTGCTAAACAATAGCGTCCGCGTTGATGTTCGAGTGACCAACACAGTTTTTGACGGCAAAGAAATACAAGAAAAAAACTGGAAGAACGCTACATTTGGTATTCGCATCATCATCCCCCTTCTAGACAAACAGACAACTTCGAAAGTAAACGTTGAAATAGAAAATGCAACCTTTGCAGGTCGACCAACTAATGCCTTTGTGTTTGTTGCCAAGGGAAACAAGACAATCACTCTGCGGGGTTGCAAGTTCCTTGACAGTTTCAGTCTAGAAATGAACGAGTGGATAGTGGAAAAATATAAAAACTTGCCAGGGTATATGACTGGCCAGGGAGCGTTTCTTTTTCTTTTCGACTCCGATAAGCTGGTAGACAGAGGATGTGTTAAAGGAGGGGAGAGAAACGACACCCATGCCCAGTGGATTTACAACAGTCGTGTTCTTGTTGAAAACACGCTATTTCAAAACAACTTTGGGTATGCGGCGGGTGCGATTCAAATTATTAACGGTTATGTTAAGTTTCGAAGATGCAATTTCACAAATAATTTTGCCTTAAGCAACACAGGTCATGTATATGCTGCATACGGCAGTGCGAAGGTTGAGTTCAAGAACTGTGCTTTCAAGCGCACAGAAAAAAAAGGAACTTTCAAAGGCATTTCTTTTGCAGTTGGCAGATTTCTGCACTCGGAAAGCGGAGGAGCAATCAAGATAAAGAGCACCTCTTTTGAAGAAAATTTCTCTGAAAAGCGAGCTCGTCAACGGCATATTCTCAGAATATCTTACGGTGGCTATTTCGATATCGACTCGAACTCTACCATTCAATGCCCAGTGGGAAGTTCGCTTCATTTTTACAATTTTACTCACTTCCACTATGATGGTGGGCAGGACGATACATTTTGTCGTATTAACGTTACAACTGAGATATTTATTTGCCTAATGTGCCCTTCAAAAATGTACAGTCTTCAAAGTGGATTTTCCAGAGGATTGGCCGTTCGCAAAGGCTTCAGTTGTCTTGAGTGCCCATTTGGAGCCCACTGCGACGCAACCAACAACATTGTCGCCAAACGAGATTTTTGGGGTTACGAAATAACAAACTCGAGCAATTTTTCGTCACTAACATTTGTGACTTGTCCTGAGAAGTATTGCCGCCGTCAAAATTACTACATATACCACCAGGACTTCAACCGTTGCTATGGTTACCGGCAAGGTGTTCTTTGCGGAAGATGTGCTCCTGGTTTTACTGAATCACTGTTTTCAACCAAATGTCGAAAAGCTGAAGAATGTAGATGTAATTTTCAATTGTGGCTTTTCATGGCAATATATACCATCGTTTTGACTTTCTATTTGTTGAAGAAACCTCCTCTTGTTCGTTTTCTGAAGGATCAAATTTTCTGGTTTAAAAGGGATCGTCGTCAACAGAACTTGCAAAGAGACTCGGTTCTCGTGAAAGAAGAAACCGAGAACGGCTATGTCAGAATTACGTTCTATTTCTACCAAGTATTCGACTTGCTAAGCACCACATCTGTGGAGACAATGATGGGAAAAGTTCGGTACATTTCCACGATGGTCGCTGCTTTTAACTTTGAAGTCCGAATCCTGGACGAGGAAATTGGCTGCCCCTTTGCTGGACTGACAGCCGTCACTAAGGAAATGTTCCTCTCCGCGCTGGTATTTGTTGCCATAGGTCATGTGTTTACGATCTACTGTCTTAATTTGGTGGTTTACCGAATATTGAAGAAACACAAGCCTGTGCTGGTTCATTACGTGGCTGTTGCCATGGAAATCCTCTTGCTTGGTTACGAGCGTCTTGCAGAAACGTCGCTCAAGTTAATGCACTGCGTACCGATTGGATCTGAACTGCGTCTTTACTACGATGGTAACGTTGTTTGCTGGCAATGGTGGCAGCACTGTCTTCTGGCTTTTAATGTTATTTTCGTCGTTCCATTCGTCGGGGTTCTGTACCTGGGTTCCGGAAAGCTGTATAACAAGACCATATCATGGAAACAGTTTATTGGTGCGTGTATTGTTCCCCTACCGTTTCTCGTTTACTGGCTTGTTAAACGTTCATACACCAAACAGAGGGGAAAACCAGTCTCTCAAAATAGATACACCCGCCTTTCGTCGCTTCTTGACGATGGAAATTCCTCACATGATAGCCAAGAATGCACCAACGAAATTTCCAATATTTTGCTTGGCCCTTTCCGTACACCTAGTGCGCATGATCAAGGGACGCTCTACTGGGAAAGCGTTCTGATTGGTCGAAGGCTTGTGCTTCTCATATTTCGCGCCTTTATTCCCAATTCCATGGTTTGTTTTTTGTGCATATTAGTTGCCTGTGTTCTGATGGCAGTTCATCATTTAATCAAGAAGCCATTCCGGGACCGCACAGCAGATAGAATGGAAACTTGTTCTCTGATAACTTTGTCTTGTATCGCGATCATAAACGTGACAACAGCTACTCTCGCGTCCTCTGCAGTTCGCCCACAAGGTCCAAACAAAAGTATCATTGTCGTCTTACGGTGGATCCAAGTGGCTCTTCTCAGTTTTCCTTTTGCGCTGTTTGCGTTGTTGATCCTATTCGCATTCTTGTCGCAACTTGTTCGTTTTGTCATCTTGCTGAAGCGAAAAATCTGGAAGGCAGCACACCGAATGGGCATTTAAATGACAGGACTTACTTACTTCGCATGTGAGTTGAGAAGCTCAATAATACATAAAGGCGAGAATAACTTTAACTAAACAAATCAAGGACAATTCAGTTAAAGGAGCGAAATTTCGTTAAGAGTTCAGTGCTGAAATGTAATAAGAACCTTTGGCTCAAATTTCGTCAATTGTAGAGATTTTAGCTAATTCACGCTAGATAGACATGAAGGGTCCAATTAGTGAAAAACGGCAAATTTGGTCAATTAGGTGACGATGAGAATTGTACAAAAGTTTTCCTAAGTCAGGGGTTTAGAAATCCACGTAGATCGAAGGCAGTCTAGGGCTGAATCGGGAATATCTAAGGGCGATTGCTATAAATACTGTAAACAATACCCCTTTTCCTTTAGTTTCCCTGATATATCTTTACGATGAGATTTATAGATATAACGAATTTGATGCTAAATTTTCGGGGTGTGGGGATGGGGGGTGGTAAGTTAATGCAACAGGAAAGTTTATTATGTGCATTAGGGATGACGGCTCCGGGCTGGCCCGGTTCATGTAATACCGGGATAAAAGTCACCTCAGTAGAGCTAGCCAGCTCGGCTTATGCAATCAGGCCCTCGCTATGACTTGTATTGCCCCGCATTTTGCACGTGTATGAGAGCATACGACTTTATAATCTACTTAACCCCAGGGTTTTAAAACTAACTGTCACGCACGCGGTTTGCAAGTGAAGATGTTGTACTTTGCCCGTTTTACGGTTCGAACGTGAAAGAATGCAACTTGTTTACGACATCGTTTTGTTCAATAAGATTTTGAGAAATCACCTCCTTTCCGAACATCAGCAGTGAAATTATGCATCGTTCAAAGTTAAGATTAAAAGGCTAACATAGTTAGTTATAACAAAATTATCAAACTGCAGAAATACTTTATATGTGGCCACTGATCGCATGTCATTCCCCTCATTGAAACAATCCCTTATTTACCTCATGCACGATCACGGAATTTTGAGTGACATCTTTGGCTCTTGACTACTGAGGGCAAAAACCAAACCCGTTAATTCCAATTATTTTTGACAGATTTACATTCAAATTTCTGAAAAAGCGCTTCTAGTTAAGATAAAAATACCGTAAGCTTAAGACTTATAAGTCCATCTTTTCCGAGCGAAAAATCGTCCTCTAAGAGGACATGTGCTTACTGGCAATGAATATTCTGTACAATGAAAAAGGGCAATGACCGCTACCTATGGTCCGGAGGCGTTGCTTTAACATGTTCATCGCTTTTAAATTCGTCGTCCCTGCACTGTTAGGAATTGTGTCAGTCTTTGTTGCAAGGTTTTTGAGATCGTAAAAGTGGGATCAAGTACCTTGCTAGCAAAGCTTCTCTCTGGCATGCCTTTCACTTTGTACGAGTCGTTGGCGTGGCAGACATTTGCGTCGCTTGGCTTGTTTACTTGACTTGTTAACGTTCGCACATATTGCGTGCCTATTGCAACTTTGAATCAAAACAAGCGATCTCGAAAACCCTATTTAGCTTTAGAAGAAAATTCTTTCATGCATATTGAGCGTTGCATGTAAATGATGGATTTGAAGTTTACCAAATCAAGTTGATATCTATAATGACAACAGATGACCAAGACATAATAAGGTTTAGATGATCTGAAATTTGAGGCATAAAGTCCCTTGCATGACTAAGGGTAACTTTTTAAAAACATTTATTTACATACTTGTTGCTCGTTTTAGCAAATTAAAGTAAAAATTATTTTTTATTTTTGAAATTTATGACTTAAAAAGCATTTATTGTATGAGCGTTTAACTACCTTAATTTGTATTAAGGTTGAGGCCTACGACCTGGAACCCACTTTAACACTGCACTTCTCTCATCGATTCTGTACACTTGTGCCTGTATCTTTGGCGTGAGAAAACACTGGTGTTATACCTTTTTAAGGGTATAATATCGTCTAATAGATAAGCTTTATGCTTTTTAAAGTATTATACTGGTTTTAGACCCTACAAAGTACGTACCCGTACTCTGTACAGTGGAACCCCGTTAATACGGTCACTAACCGGCCAAAAAAATTTGGTCGTATTACTGGGGCAGGCTCAAATTTCATGACTTGAGGGCCGTAATGACACAAATACACGGTATATCGCATTCATNTGATGGATTTGAAGTTTACCAAATCAAGTTGATATCTATAATGACAACAGATGACCAAGACATAATAAGGTTTAGATGATCTGAAATTTGAGGCATAAAGTCCCTTGCATGACTAAGGGTAACTTTTTAAAAACATTTATTTACATACTTGTTGCTCGTTTTAGCAAATTAAAGTAAAAATTATTTTTTATTTTTGAAATTTATGACTTAAAAAGCATTTATTGTATTAGCGTTTAACTACCTTAATTTGTATTAAGGTTGAGGCCTACGACGTGGAACCCACTTTAACACTGCACTTCTCTCATCGATTCTGTACACTTGTGCCTGTATCTTTGGCGTGGGAAAACACTGGTGTTATACCTTTTTAAGGGCATAATATCGTCTAATAGATAAGCTTTATGCTTTTTAAAGTATTATACTGGTTTTAGACCCTACAAAGTACGTACTCTGTACCGTGGAACCCCGTTAAAACGGTCACTAACCGGCCAAAAAAAATTTGGCCGTATTACTGGGGCAGGCTCAAATTTCATGACTTGAGGGCCGTAATGACACAAATACACCGTATATTGCATTCATCGTCCTGTACTCATTAATAAACAACCGGAATGGAGATATCGCGTAAAGTAATTGAAAAAACTACTTAAAGTTTTCCTTCAGTACATTAAACTCTTTTAAAATTCGGCTATAAATCGCCACAAGTGCATTTTATGGGTACTGTAGTCTAAAAACAGTACAAGAATAAGCTCAGATTACTGGGTTAATAAAATTGACAGATCACAGGCATTTTAATTTTCTAAATTTCGAACGAGTGGCCTTATTAAAGGGGTGAGATTTTAAGAGATTCTACTGTTTGGGATTTTAAAATGTGGCCGTTGGCAGCATTAACAGGTGACCGCATTAACGGCGGTTTTTTATAAGGAAATGTATGGTCGTATTGCAGGACCGAAAAAAACTGGCCGTAATAACGAGGTGACCGTATTATCGAGGTGGCCGTAAGGCGAGGTTCCACTGTGTGTAGCCGAGCTCATGTCTCACTTATCATCAAGTTTACTAAACTTGAGTTAGGTTTGGATTATTTTGGCAAAGGAAATGATGCATCGAATTGTAACAGAAAACATGGATAAGGTGTTTTATTAGTGCCTGGATTTTACATCTATTTGCTCTGCCAAAATATAAGGAAAATTAAGGTTTAGTACACAAATGAAAAGGGTGTTTAATAAACCTGATCAGTTTTCAAGTGTTTAATTACTGATTCGAGTCAGCCTTGCTTCGCCTAGCCTGAGAAAACAGCCGACGTTTCGCGAGGCCACCACGTCTGAGAAACGAGTGCAGAAATTCTATATTGATGACGTGTTACTACCCTTCCCTGGGTAGTGAAGTATCATGAGTATGAAATTTCTTTGCTTGCGTACGTTTCTCAGACGTCATTTCACGGGGAAACCAGTGGCAGCGTGGCGAAATATCGGCTGTTTTCTCAGGCTATACGTCGCCTTTCATAATTAACCGTGATTTAAAAAGACTCTGCAAAAGCTCCAGTTAAATAATAATGATGATGAAACGAATAACAATAATAAAAAATAACTAAACGTATGCTCAATAAGTGTCATCTTTAAATTTGTGACCACGGATTATCCCTGAGTGAAGAAAAATCTATCTATCGGAACGTTTACCAATCGCCGCCCATGCATATGAGTTCCCAATCTAGTCAATCTAATAAAAACCTCAAGGTTACATCTGTTGTTTTTAAATTAATAACAGCGAGCAAGCAGCAACATAATCTGGATTCAAGAAAAAGATTAATTCTCGAATTCATCACTTTTTACCAGAATGCATAGCATTTAACCAGAGTGCATTGAAATTAACCAGAATGCACTGCGCCACGAACAACTCGAATAAAACACAAGGACGTGCCATAACGTTTCCTTTTCGCACGGATTACGTGAAAACGGTGATTGTGTCGCCTTACTTTTTCATTTACATCGCGTGGTGGCAAGAGCTCTTGGTGGTGGTGATTCAGTGCACGAATTTCACATCCCCGTTTACGTTTCAAATCCGGTATGCGAACAATTTGTGAATCTGGACAGATTAATTTTTATGTTACATCATTCGCTTCTTTCCCGCCGGCAATCCTGCTGAATTCTGACTTCTGAACAAAAAGGTGAGTGCTGTCCTCTTGCTTTCTCATTTACATCAGGCAGTATTGGTTGTGGATGAATTTCACATCCCCCGTTTACGTTCCAAATCCAGTATACGAAAACAGTTTGTGAATCTGGAGAGATTTTAATGCACCTATCAATGATTTGCCCCAGGATGGGGGCGGGAGGGGGGGGGGGGGCGGGCAATCTCGGGGAAATGTGAACCCGGGAGGTCCCCCGGGGGGGAAGTTTTGATCACCACGACACCTAAAGGGACACCCCCAAAGGAGTGTAGGGGGGCCACACCTCACAAAAAAACCTAGTAGTAAAACCGGTGTACGGCTCAAACCACAGAGAAGAAAGCGGTTGAGTAATGTTGAGAGAGTTTAGTAGGTCTTTTCAGTGGGTGCCGCTGGGGGGGGGGGGGGGGGGGGGGGGGGTCGTCAATCTACGGGAATTTGACATCCTGAACGTCCCCAGGATGGAAAGTTTGACTCAGCCGCAATCTTAAAGAGGACCTACGAATGAGCGTTAAGTGGTCCACCATCTTAGAAAATACCTAGTAGTCATTAGGATGCGTTTCCCGCATTTCGACGCCTTCTTTTCTTCGTGAAGGATGGCAGAACGACAGTTACGAGTATCTTGTTCCTTTTTAAGCATAAAATCAGTGATCTATATTTGAAGTTTTATGACAAAAGTATTTTGTCTCCCAGCTTTGAGAAGAAA